GTATAATAATTTAATAAAGTATAACGTAATGTTAGCATAAGGATGACAAAAAATTAAGATAGCATTGACAAAAAATTAAGATAGCATTAACATTAACATTAACGTTAACGTTAACGTTATTAACGTTGGTACGTACGTATCAAAAATTTTAAATCACACCAACATATAAAGTTAATAGTAAGTCCTTGGTTATTTAGATAGTTTTTGAGATATTAGGTGAACACCACTGGTGATACCGATACCGATGCAGTATAATGCTAATACAGTATAACAGATAATGCTAACAATCTTTAATCAATATTAAATCAAATTTAAATCAAATTTAAACCAATTTTAAATCAAATTTAAATCAAATTTAAATCAAATTTAAACCAAATTTAAAATCAACTTTAAATCAATTGTTAATAACATAACTCTGAATGATAATACTTTAAATAATAGATAAAATAAAATAATATATTAAACAAGATTTTCCATAAAATCGAACGTTATTCGTTCAAACTTTATACGTACGAAATAACTGGTAAAGTAAAGAGTAACAAGAATCGGTTTTAACTCCGCATTTAATTATCTTTTCTTGTGCATTTGTGTAATCCAATCTTTTATCACTGGGGTTTTATTTTAAAGAAAACCAAGATCCTCACACGTTTGTTATACGGTTATTATAGATAACGCCAATTCTTTTAAAGTTTCAACTCTCCGAATACAATATATATGCTTGGGATATGTTACCAGACCAGTTTAAAATTTCCTTTAAAGTTTTAGATTTTAAGTATACATGTAAGTACGTACGTAGGTATGTACGTACGTACGTACTTGCATACTATGTACATACTACGTACGTACGATATACACGTATGTACACCTAAGTACACATACAGTATGTACATACTATGTACACATACTACAGGTACATACTTGGATACATGTAGGTAGCCCAATTACTAAATAAAGAGAGCACGTGTCATCCATCGTATATTTGTTTCATTGGATATCTTTAAAGTTTCGTTTTTCATCGTATATTTGTTTGTACGATATTAACCACCTTTTTTACCACACCTTTTTGTGGAACAAAAATTGCTATTTATAATGTTTGTTGGTAAATATGAATGCCAGGTTCTTTTACGTACGTACAGTACGTATGTACGTACGTATAACTGATCGTTCTTATCTCCATTGAATGTTTGTCTTTTGTTCGTTTCAGTTTTGTTAATCATTCTTGGAAAATTGGAAAATAAATAATTATTAAATTGTTTGAACTCAAATTATTAAATTATTATACTTATTATAATAATTATAATTATTATTAAATTGTTGAACTCAAAAATTATTATTAAATTGGATTAAATTGTTAAACTCAAATTATTAAATATTGTTTCATTATTGTTCTTTTCTTTTGTAGTCATGTCGATGAAAAAACAATAGAAATTGACTTAGATAACCTCCTGGATAGGAGTTAGGTAGGAGTTAATAGGAGTTGTACCTTGTTAAATAAATTTTGATAGGTCATTAACTTTATGAACTTGATGAACATCAGTGAACGAGGAGTAATGAAATGTCGTGTTTTCATATTTTGATCGTTTCCATACATATATATTACATATACATATACATATTACACATATATCATGTATATTGCATATATATCATATATCATATATATTATCATATATCATATATATATTCAAAACACACTCACACATACATACTTTGAAGTCACATTTGCATCATAAACTCATAAACCTTAAATTTAAAATCACAAAAAAGATTCATATATCACAAAAATACATTTAGTTATCATTATGGTAAATCAAATTACCAATACCGATACGTAAATAACGTATACTACGTACGTACGTACGGACGGACGTACGTAGGTATTTACGTGCGTACGTACGTACTGTACGTATGTACGAATGTACACGAAAACTATCTTTTTTTTCAGGTTCTTCAGCCCAAAACAACCCAAGCAAAATTATGATATCATACATACATTAAGCAAGTTCTTTAACCTGTTCTATCCTTTTCTTTCACCGTTACCGTTTGTTGGTCTGAAATTTTGAACGTTAAACATAAATATATAACGATATGCGAGAATTCTGATAAAGGTGTTTCAATTCTGCGTATTAATGCATAACTGCATTTTTTTTTTTTTTTTTGTGGGTTTTTCTTCTATAATTATATAACCTCCGATAATACTGTAATATTGAGATAATACTTCGATAATATTGCGACAATATTGGGAAATAGATTTGACAGCTAAAATGTAATACATTGTATTAAAAATTGACAGGTGAACAAACAACAAGGTAGGCGTATGATTTGGTAAGATTTCAAAGAACAATGGGTTTTCTATCATGAATTTACTATGAGTTTACTATGAATCGACTATGAATTTACTATCATTTTACTCTTTTACAATCATTTTTACGTACAATCATTTTACAATAATTATACTTTTGGTTTATTATTTCCCAAAAAATATTCTTTTTTTTTGCATTTCAATTAAAATAAATGAAAACTAAATGAAACTAAATAAATGAAAACTAAATGAAACTTTTCCAATATAATTCATCTAATTCATCATCTCTTTTTCTTGGGGTTCTATTCCTTTTTCCAAAGACCGTGCTTTAATGTTTTTTTTTTTCTTCTATCATTCTCCTATCATGGTTTTTATCATTCTCCTATCATGGTTTTTATCATTCTCCTATCATGATTTTTATCATCCTCCTATCATGGTTTTTATCATTCTCCTATCATGGTTTTAAGCATGCGCATTCATTGTAAAAGAAATCAAGATGGTAAAGTTCGTAGATGTTGCTAGACAAAAGGGATGAAATAAAATCTACGCCCTCAATTTTTGCATTTTTTGATGCATATTTAGAACATTTAGAAGGTAATTATTGTTTTTCGTACCAATATAATTTGACTTAATTGATTCTAAAGAGAGTTAAATTTTCATTTCTTAAATGTATCCTGCAAGTTGTGTGTAGTGAAATGTGTGAACTTTGACCAATTTTGAGTGTTATTTGAATATTTTGAGGTCGAGAAAAACAAGTTGGTCGGAAATGTCCATTTGTGTTATACGCATTTACTTACGCATTTACGCATAATAAAGTTTATCACATTTCACTTACTATTTTAATTTTGACATGTCACTTTTGTGTTTCGGTGAACAGCGGTCTCACAAAAAAATTTATTGTGCAAGACGAATCATTAGTCGGACAAAATGCAAAGCATAGACCCCAAAATTATTTATTGCTGTCAGGAATCATCCTCTAACATTTTCTACGTATTCTATGTATTTTATGTGTATTTTATGTATTTTATGTATTAGAAATTATAAAGGAATGATAAAGAAGGATAAAGAACTTTTACGTTGTGAATATATATTCATTATATATATATATACTATAACTATATTATAACTCGATTGATTATATATACTATAACTCGATTGATTATATATACTATAACTCGACTGATTATATAAATTATACTATCGCTATACACACTGTACATATGTCATTCCATTCGTCAAATAATGGACATTTTTAATATGTACATATTTGGAATGATTTGGAGTTCGATTCTTAAAGCAGGTAAAAAAGTATGACTTTCTTTGGGCAAAGCTACAAAAGAACAATCATTCGATTAAATATTTTCAGGGCACGCGAAAACAATAGCTGTTCGGTTTTACTTACTCCTATTCATTAACGAAATGATAAACAAAAATGTTGGAATTATTACGAGAATTGAACAGGATTAATACCATTAGTACCATTAATACCATTAGTACGATTAATACGATTATTAATACGATTAATACGATTATTCATACCATTAATACCATTAAACAAGAACATTATATCTTTGTTTATTCGCGTGTTTACAAATGCTCCGTGTATCATTATTAATAGAAGTTGTGCTAATCATATAATTGCCGTTATGCGTCAAAGATGTTGCAATTATAATAATTATAATAATTATAATGTGTTACTTGTGTATAAATTTTGAAATCGGGAGTTCATGTTTATCCTTAATGTAACATTTACCCCAATGTTGATTGTATTTCTATTTCAACGTATCATTTTCTTGAAATTTTTGGTTGGGGATGAAGAAGTATCATGGGATATTGTGGATATTGTGGATATTGTAGTTTGTAATAACTTATTTGTAGAATTTTCTATAATATTGTACCAATTTATCACAATTTATCAAATAAATTTATTTGTGTGAAATACACAAATAATTTTATTTCACAAATAAATAAATTTCTTGTTTTCTATTATCACTTATTTATCAATATATATATATATATATATATATATATTTTATAATATGATTTACTGTGCAAATTACTTTGAAATAAATTTAAAGGTATTCGGGTGTATAAATAAAATAAATAAATAATATATATATGGTGGTGTTTGTATTTGTAATGTTTTTTCTCCTGTAACTGTCTCGAAATATTTTTTTTTCCTACTTTCAATTTCAATTTTTCAATTTTTCAATTTTTCAACTTTTCAAATTTTCAAATTCAATATTTCAAATTTTACTTTCAAGACACCTTTCAATACTCACCTTTCAATACTTACCTTTCAACACTTTTAATTTTTCTGAGATATTTTAAGACACTTTCAGATTCTATTCATTTCATAGATATATATATACACACACATACATATATCATAAACATGCATTTTCATGCGATAGAAACGAAAACTTTTCCTCTGATAAAACTTCCTTTTGACCTGATTGCAAATATTTTATCGTTCTTGATAAAACATCAAAATTCTAAAGTTCATGGTTCTAATCTTATATTCGTTAATCATTTATTTGCCAAAGCAGCGATACCTTTTGTTTGGTCTCATTTATATCTTAAAGAACCATCTCAACGTAATATATTCAACATATTACAAACTCCTCCTTCAAATCTCATGTTTAATTATCGAACCATGGTGAAAAGCGTTACTATTTGTCCTGTCTCTATATCAAACATGAAATCTGGTGGTTTATTAACTACTTTAGAATTGGTTCAAACTTTTCTTCCTAATATATCCGGTTTACACGTTGAAGATAGTTTGTCTTTTTGTCATGTTTGTCATGTTGGTAAAGAAGCCACCACTGAACAAGTGGCTGATTTAATTTCAATTAATCATTTAGACAAACTAATGTTAGATTCCGATCATTACGCTTTTAATGATGATTTATTAGAAATTATTACCAAAGATTCTCATTTAAAACTTTTGTCGATAAATGGTTCAAATTTTACTGATGATGGTGTATTAAACCATATCATACCAAATCTTAAAAATGATCTGGTGGAATTTTCGGCTGGTTTTGGTGGAATGAATCCTGTGTCCTTAACTGGTAATTCTGTTATAGCTCTTCTTGAACATTGTCCAAATATAAGACGAATGTCTTTGGAAGGTGTAAACCTTAACGATTCGGATTTCGCTGTTGAAGATTTACCTTCAAGTCAACTTGAACATCTTCGTTTAGGCAAAGCATGCCATCAAAACTTTACAACAAATGGTCTATTCTCTTTATTATCTACTTGTAATAAGACTTTAATTTCACTTGTATTAGACTTGGATCATTTATCTCAATCTGCACTTCAAGAGATTATTATTCCTTTATTTCAACGTCAAAAATTACAAGAAATACATTTGGTTTCTGAATCATGGGCTGAATGGATCGCTTATTACCCTAGACCTAGATCTGAACAAGAAGTTAAAGCAAAAGAAGCAATGTGGCGTTGGAAATTAAAAGCTTATTGGGGTTTATCTGCCGATTTGATAAATTTGGTGGGTAAAAAGATTTCTACCCTAAAAGTTTTTAGTATTCTGGGCGAAAATCATTTAAAATCTTTTCCCATATTTTAATTAAAAAAAAAAAAACCAAAAAAAAATCCTTATTATTTACATTATTATAGTATAGTATAGTTTTTATTATTATTATTTTATCTTTTTTTATATACATTATTATTATTATGATTCGGTTGGTTTCTCTTGGAACAAACGTAAAAAAAGAACATTATATTATATATATTCTATATACACTTTATATATATTCTATATATTTTATATATATATTTTTATATATTTTCTTTTTTTTTTTTTTTTTTTACTCTCCCCCAAAAGTTTTTATTATAATTCTTAATATCTATGCATTCAAAAATGAACCTTTTTTTTCTTTTGTACATATTTTTTATACACCAAAATCATGTTAGCTTTCTTTTTCAATATATATTGTTAGATAGTCATTCAAAAAAAAAAAAAAATTCATTTCAGTATTATCAGTATCAGTATTATCAGTATTATCAGTATTATCAGTATCACAGTATTAGGTTTAGGATTATTAGGAATAGACATTTTATTAAAGGAAAGTGTTATTCGAATGTTTAAAAAAATTGAAAGTAGGTTTTTTTTTTTTTATATTAAAGTCTTTTTTATTAAAGTCTTTCGTGAAATGTTCTTTAGTTTCACGGTATAAAAAATCACAAGCGTTTTTAGTGAATTATTGCTCAATGAATTAAATGATCATATGTATGTCTAGTGCTCTGATGCTTTTTTAAGGAGTCTCTATCATCATATACTGCAATAGCTGATAGAGTTACAATGCTTGCTACAATATTGTATACGTAGCGATATAATATAGTTAACTCATGATAATCGCAACTTTTTCATATGACTTCATCATATTAAAACAAGTAAGTATCAACATTTGACCACATTAGGTCAATGACCGGTTCTAATTTATCTTACAACCAGATTTCTTCCACTTTGCAATATTTTCACAGCCTCACCATTACATTACGAATTATTAGAATTATTACAAATCTTCTTCCCCGCACATTTGAAATTCAGAAGTCTTGGATCAATTCTTTTTTTCTATCGCCACTGCGGTTTGTTTATATAAATTGTATAATAAATCGTATAAATTGTATAAACAAATCATAAGTATAAATATATATATAAATATATATATAAATATATATAAATATATATATATATATATATACGTACGTACGTACGTATTATATTTATTATATGGGCCATCCATTATTCAATCTGATTATCTTGCTTATAAGTATTGAAAATCATGATAATGCAATTTTCTATTATCATAAGATCGTGATTACCAAATGATTACGACCTGTTTTTTTAAATGTAATAATGTATTATGCGACGTTTTATATATACATAATAATAAATTTATTGAAAAACTGCGAGTTTATCTCTTTTTGGATGAAACAAGTATGGGGAGAATACGTTAGTCTCCTTTACTTTTTTTAGGAATTAAAAAACAAACGGAGTAAAAAGTTAGGTGATAAGTGATTATTTAATTTCATTGATGCTGTGCCACTATTACTACGTATTATTCTACTACATACGTACGTACGCAGTATGTACGCAGTGGAGTAGCAGAGTATGTACGTACGTACGTTATATACATATCTATACTGTGAAATACCCCATTATTCATCTTATTCTTCTTTATTCATCTATTTATTCATATATTTATTCATTTATTCATCTATTTATTTATTTCTTCTTTCATGTTTAACGTTTAATCCGTAATTTCTATTTTATCTATTCACATTGCTACTGGTTTTTATATAAATTCCCATTATTACTCCATTATTATTACTCCATTATTATTACTCCATTATTATTATTCCATTATCATTCCATTATTATTCCATTATTACATATTCACTTGATCTCGTGAATCCTGGTTACTCTCTTACATAATAAACTTTATAATATTACCCCAGAATTTACTGCGGTGATCTTTATTTTTATTAAAAATTTAATAATAATGATAATAAATATACTCGGTTTTAAATATAAAATAGGATTATTAGATTAGTCGCCGGAATCTAGAACGTCGGAACTGCGAATCAATATCAATTATAGATTATTTAGTTAATCTATTACGTATCTTAAAAATTCACATTTTATATTACAATGCTATGCTATGCGTGATGCCGTCAAATGGAATGATGGGTTGTCAATTTTGTGTTTCTCACATTAGAAAAAAAAAGGAATTCCATTCATTTATCAAAGCATCTGATTCAAAATAGAAATAATTATCAAAAATATAAATGTGCATACATTACATATATACTAAGTCTTTTTGGTAAATTTTGTGTCTGGTATAGGGATGGGCAATTATATTATACCGTATAATAAAAATGGTATAATAACCTGTATAATTGGTATAATATAATTAATA